GAGATATGATAATATTATGCTAAATGGGAGAAATCAAACTGGTTGTGCCTTATTTCTATGAAGATGTCTATTTCTTAGCATCTCCTTAGTGGTCTGCATGAAAATTTGAATGCAAAAGTTATTCTAAAAGATTTCAGTGAAAAATATAAGTCTTTTGATAAGGCTGAAGCTGGGAACCTAGTTAATGAGCTGACTGATATGAGATATGATGCTTCTATTGGGGTCAGAGAGTTCATATTGAGGATGATCCATGTCCAGAATAAACTGAAGTCCCAAAAAAGTGTTTTTGATGATGATTTTGTTGTGCATCATATCCTGAACCGTTTACTTGCTGAATTCAGTTAGATAAAGATTGCCTATACTGCTCAGAATGAGAATTGGAGGCTTAATAAGTTGATTGTAAAATGTGTTACTGAGGAAGAAAATCTGAAGAAAGAATAGAATAAGTATGTCCATTTGAACTTTAATGCTAAGAAAGACTCTCAGAAGGTGAAGGGGAAATTTAAAAAAAAAAGTATTCTCCTACTCCCAAGAAGTTTCAAAATTTCAAGAGGAGGGGTAGTGATGAAAAATATGGAGGAACAATATTGAAAATTTTCCACTACAAGGAGAATGGTCACAAGAGAACAAATTGTCACAAGTTTAAGGCTTGGTTAGCAAAGAAAGAAAAAGGCAAGATTGGTTGCAAAAGGATATACTCAAAGAGGGCATTGACTTTACAAAGACTTTTTCTCCAATATCTTCTAAAGACTATTTTAGGATAATTATGGCACTGGTGGCTAATTTTGATTTAGAGCTTCACCAGATGGATGTAGAAACAACATTTCTTAATGGTGTTCTAGATGAAGAAGTGTATATGCAACAACCGGAAGGGTTTAAAGAAGCTGGAAAGGAGCGTATGGTGTGTAAACTTCAAAGATCCATATATGGTCTCAAATAAGCATCTCGCCAACGATACCTAAAATTTGACACAGTTGTGAGATCATATGGTTTCATTGAAAACAAATTTGACCATTGCATCTACATGAAAGTAAGTGGGAGTAGATATATCTTCTTAGTTCTTTATGTATATGATATTTTTCTTTCCAGTAGTGATTTTGATTTATTGAATGAGATGAAAGCCTTTTTGTCAAAGAATTTTGATATGAAGGACCTTGGAGAAGCCTTTTTTGTTCTGGGCATTGATATTCATCGAGACATATCCACAAAGGTTCTGGGATTATCAAAGAGAAGTTATTTTGATCGTGTGCTTAAAAGGTTCCATATGCAATCGTGTAAAGTTGGTGATGCTCCAATTGTAAAAGGAGATAAATTAAGTAAAGAATAGTGCAATAAAAGTGACATTGAGAAAGAGGCAATGAAAAGTATCCCTTGTGACAGAGCAGTTGGGAGTCTTATGTATGCACAGGTATGCACTAGACCAGATATTGCTTTTGCAGTAAACAGCCTTAGGAGATATTTGTCAAATCCAGGTCACGATCACTGGGTTGCAGCCAAGAAAGTAATGAGATATCTACAATGCACGAAAGATTTCATGCTTGTATACAAAAGGGTGGAAGATCTCAAGGTTATTGGATATTCAAATGCTGATTTTGCTGGTTACTCAGATAACATAAAGTCAACATCTAGATATATCTTTATGTTGGCTGGTGGTGTTATTTCATGGAAAAGTGCAAAACAAACCTTGATCACAAGTTTCACAATGTATGATGAACTTATAGCTTGTTAGGTGCTTTCTGTAAGAACCTGTACCGTTAAATTAGGAATTTAAAATAAATTAATTATGAGTTTAGAAAATAATTTCATAATTGACTTTGGATAAATATAGAAATATTAGAATAATTATCGAGAAGGTCATATAACGCTTAAATCACTTTTCTGATGAAAAGTGCAGATAGCGATTCTGCTTCACGGTATAAATGCGTACTGTTGAAGTATCCCAAAAAATTATAATAAAATTATAAATGTTCTTAGAAATATATCTAGGTCAAAGATATCAAGTTTGGAGTAAGAATAATGAGCGTTGATGTCAGAACTAATACCGACTATGTATAAAACGCGTACCGACAAAGTGCTTCAAAAATTATAATAAAAATATGACAGTTCTTAGAAAAATGTCTAGGTTCAAAATATTAAGTTTGGTAGAAAAATGATTAGCAGAGTTATTAGAGCTAATACTGTGCATTAGTGGGCATACTTGTATAAATAACCATTGCACATAAACCTAGGTTAGTTTTTCTAATCTTCTACATAGAGTTCTTCATGTGCTCTTGGCTGCCACCTTCCCTACACACCTCCATAGCTTTTCTTGCATAAAAATCACCCAAGGCATCATCTTTCCACTTGATTCTTCCTCTTCCACCTTGTGAGGTTGAAAGATACCTTCTTGAGGTGTTGTAGCTGCTGAGTTTGGAAGTGTGGGGTTGCCTTTTGGTTTGAGTTGTAATTGAGCTTTCTAAACCTCCATTGAAGCTTCAAGAACCAACCTTTGTGAGAAAAAATCTACCTTGGAGTGGGATTTTCGTGCACCACCAAGTTAGTGGCTTGGAGCACCTTCAAAGTCCTCAAAGCTTCCACATTTTTTTGATTTCAAAGGTCCATAGGTAACTACAAGCCATATCCTTTGTAATTTCTTGAAAACGAGTTAGTTTGTGAAGTAAAAAGTGGAAATCTTAATGATGCATGTAAAATATGGTATAGCTATATTTAAGCATGTTATTTAAACTTCTGTTTGATAAAAAATTGGACCTTGGACCCTTGGAAGGCATGGAACCCACGGATTATGCAGAAAAATCTGCATTTTTCGTATTCTGTCCGCGTGGTAATCGATTACTCTGTTCATGGTAATCGATTATCGTGTGGAGTAGCCGATTACCACCTGTATGGTAATCGATTACCCCCTATCAGAAAGACCAGAAACCAATTCTGATGCGTGGGAAAGTCCCCATTTGGGTATAGTACCCTAGGGAGTCAGTGTTACTGATGGTAACTATTAATACCAATAATATTGAGGATTAATATGCGATAACTATGATTTAGAAGGGATTTAAGTCACTAAACGAAAAAGAAAACATTGCTCAATCAATGTGAAATTGGGATTCTGAATATTTATAATGTTATTGATATAAAATAGATTGCAATTGTTGGATTGTGTGACTATTGGTGTATCTGTATATACCGAGCCTTTGGATAGAGATTTTGGCATTACAGGTAAGATTTTGAGTCCTCGGTTTTACCCATTGATGGTTCCACCATACCTCATGGAGAGATGGTTTATATGCATGATGTGTTTTCTGAAAATATATCTATTTATATGATGAGTACTGGATATGCTGTTGAGCTGGATTGTGTTATAGTGCAATTGCCATATGTATATGTATGTGAGGTATTCCACACGAGATGGTAATTCCTTAGCATGTCAGGCCACATGCAAGAAGGTAACTCCGTGTGTGAGGTACATATGTGAACTCCTTGTACTGTGGGTTGTAGACGTATGTAATCCCTATCTTTTAATCTCTGGCCAGTAGGATGCATACACACATGACATGGACATATGCTACATTGCTCAGATTTTGCTACTATATTGCTGCTATCATTTTTGAACTTATATTGCACATGTAAGTGAGCTTGGGGTGGAGAGATCCTTGAGGACCCCTTGTCTTACTGAGATTTCGGGTTAGAAATATCACACCGTGTGGGGCATATTTTCAGGTACAGGTCCTTCTGGGGTTGAGACCTCTAGTGGCAGAAGGCCGGAGTTGAGTTGAGAGGATGCATGCACCTTGTCATATTACTATGATTTATGCCTTGTTGTTATGTCTTTATCGTTATTGTATTTGAGACATGATTTGACTATGTGTTTTATTTGGTGAGCATGCGGGTTGTCCATGCCACATTGGTATAAGCTGTGTTATTTTAGACTGAGTTGTATTATTGTATAAGCTGTCCTCTTTTACCTGATTATATTGAGGTTAAGCCCCATAAGCTATTATGCTCTGCTGCCATTTTCAAAATAGATGATAAAGAGAAAGATTCTAACAAAAATGAACAGGTCATAGTTTGTTAAGGAGAACTGATGGCCTATTCCTTATTCTGAATTATTATTATGTATAGTGTTTTATATGTTATATTTGTTTCAATCCTCTTGAGGTATATTATAAAAAAAATTCTCACATTTTATTCTCAGGCGCTTCTAGTCTGCAAACCCAAATCATACGACCATATCCAGCATAAAACTCAATAAATTAAATAAGTTTCCGTATATACCAAAGTTATATTCCCATGATTTCGCCACGTGTATGGTTTTCAAATATTGAACACAATAAACGACAAATAATCTTTCACTCGTTACACTCTAGCATTAGAGAACCTTGTGCGTATCTCATCTCCGTCTATTTATTCTCACACTCAAAAGTTAAATATTTCCCTTATACTTCAATCTTTGCATCGTGGTTGCTTTATAGTCAGTGTCCATTACATCTTGTCCACCTCATTTTCCTCTCAAGCTTCGGGTGTCACCCCATGGAACACTCTTTCTCTCTCTTTAAATTATATAGGAAAAAACTGAAACTATGAAAAAAAATTAATATGTGTCAATATAAATTTCTTTTTCAAAACTGACTGCGTATACTAATTAAAACTGAAACTATAAAAAAAAATGTATAAATAATAAAAAAAATAAAACAATTAAATGCAAAAGTAACATTTTCCTTTGTAGTAATTACTAAGGGGTATCTAATCTAGTTGGATGTAGACTCACACCAGTCGACCATATCCACAATTAAATTCAATAAATTAAATAGGTTTCCTTAAATACCAAAAATTAAATTCTCAAGATTTCGCCAGGTGTATGGTTTTCAAAGTTTGAAAACATTAAACGCAAATAATCGTCACACGTTACACTCGCACATTTGAGACCGTTGTTCACGTCTCATCTCACTCTGGAATAATCTTCACAGACAAAGTTAAATCTCTCCCTTATATTTCAATAATCTTACCCTTAATATTTCAGTCTTTCATCATCTACTCTGGCATCAGTTTCCAATAACCCCATCACAAAAACACACTCTCTCTCTTATACACTATATAATTACACCTCCATTCATTCTTCTCCACAAAACTCTGTTTCTATTTCCCTCATGGAGTTTAACAAACCTCTATGCCTTTTCTTTTTTCTCTTTACTCTTCTCTCAAGCTCTCAAGCCTACAAATTCTACGTTGGTGGAAGCAATGGTTGGGTTCCAAACCCTTCCGAGAGTTACAATCAATGGGCTGGAAGGAACAGGTTCCAAGTCAATGACACTCTAGGTAATTAAGTTTCTACAATTAACTCCTCAGTTATACTTTCCGTTATTCAAAAGATGAGATTTTTATTCTCTGATTATCATGTTTTTATAATTTTGATGTAAAATTTGTGGGTCTGTTTCCGTTTTAGTTTTCAAGTACAAGAAAGGTTCAGACTCAGTGTTGGAAGTCAACAAGGAGGGTTATGACAAGTGCAACAAAACGAACCCAATCAAGAAGTTCGAAGAGGGTGACACAGAGTTCATGTTTGATCGATCAGGACCATTCTATTTCATCAGTGGAAAAGATGGGAACTGTGAAAAGGGTCAAAAGTTGAACCTTGTGGTTTTGACACCAAGAGGACAAAAACAAACACCACCGTCACCACCACCAAAATCTTCACCTTCACATTCACCATCGCCATCACCTAGTGGTGGTGGCATAGCACCAGTTTCACCATCGCCAAAGCCAATTCCGCCATCTGGGTCTCCGCCGGCGTCGCCACCCACCTCGCCGTCTCCCTCTGTTTCACCATCACCGGCGGTAAAACCTCCGTCTGCGTCTCCGGCGCCGGGAGCTAAATCACCATCTCCGTCTCCGATGGGTGCCCCTGTACCGGCAGGTGGACCTTCGGTCTCACCCCCGGCTCCGGCGCCTAAATCACCATCCCCGTCTCCGGCGGGTGCACCTGGACCGGCCGGTGTACCTCCGGCTCCATCTCCGGCGACGGGGACTACACCTCCATCGCCGTCTCCTTCAGGTTCTGGTCCTGCCACATCGCCACCACCGTCCCCTTCCGGTACACCTCCGTCGGCGTCCCCATCATCGCCGACGTCGGCGACGCCGGGATCATCACCGCCGTCGTCCAATGAAACGGCGCCGGCACCCGGAAAAAGTGGATCATCTGCATGGGTTGTGGGTCGTCCTTCAAGCTTTTTGGTGTATTCGGTAGCCATTGTTGTCGGTGCTGCGTTGTTGCGTTAAAGCCACCGTTTTGGATTGAATTGAAGCTCATACAAATTAGTCACAAGTTTTCTGTATGAATGTTCCAGTAGGACCATCTTGGGGCAATTACTTTTGGGTTTCAATCACTCTTATTTTCATTTGGACATGATTTATTAGCATGGTTTTGGTTTTTTTTTATTTTTATTTTGGTATTGTCATTGGTATTCAACTTTTGATATGATTTATTGTAGCATTGTATTGTGTTATTATATTTTTAGTTGTTACTTTATTGTTATGTCTCCATGTAATAATACTCTTGATTATCTCATATACTTTTTTTTTTAAATATTCTTATGGTGTATTTGTGCTTAATGATTAATCAATTAGCCGAATTCATTGTTTGTCTATTTAAATTCAATTCAAGACATCGCAAGAAATAAAAAATATAAATAAATAAAATTTGGAAGATATATATTTCAATAGTGTTTGACTTAGTCAGAGAATCTATCAATAGATTAAAAAATTAAAAAAATGAGTTTTACAATGTTGTTGTTGGGGTTTATATATACACTTTCTGATTTGTTATTTTACTATTGGGAAAAGTGTTTTTTTTTTTAAATGACCCAATTTATATTATTTTACTCTCACGAAAAGGTAGAATCTACATCTTTATATTTTTTTCAACTTCTCTTTTCTTTTATCTATCTCTTTCTCTCACTTAAAATGAACATTTTAAAGAATATGATAGAGACTTTCTCCTTTACTATTTTGTTTCCTTTCTAGCCGAAACAAAACTGCTAAATTATTTTTATTTCGGATGTTATCTTTTTTTTTTTTTTTGGTAAACGGATATGTTATCTTTAATACGTATATTTTTTCTTTAATACGTGTATTTAATTCGTTCAAGGATATTTCTCATTCAAGATCAAGACATAAAGTCTTTAAATATTATTATATAGTTTTAATTATAGGAATACAATTGTATTTGATTTATTTACCTTCTATGAAAATATTTAATTTATTGAAATGACTAAAAAATGAGAATACAGAAAAAGAAAGTCAATGGATAAATAAATAAGACATTAAGTTCTTTGGCATTATACCTTAATTTATGACGGTGACAAAATAAATTTAAAACTTTCGGAATATTTTTTAATTAATCTGGGGTTTAAAATTTTGTATATTATTTTTTAGTAGATTAGCTTGATTAATTTCTACTCTGTTTTTAAATTGCCTATTAAAAATAAAGTCTAATTAATGATTATACTGGATATATATTCGTATCATATTTCGTTATAAATAAGTCAGTTAAATGAATTGATGTTTTTGAAGGTCTGAAATAGTTTATTATAATTAAAAAAATTTATTACAAAATTTATCTATTCACGTAATTAGTATAGTTATTTAAGCTAAAAGTAAATATCTGCACATTATTTTATTTTATTTTTAATTTGTAAGATCACGAGTTGCTTCCGTAATTTTGAATATATAGCTTATATATATGCTAATTCTAACTTAGTTCATACCATAAAAAAATTTCTGATAAGTTTGTAATCCATATCTTAATAATGTCCATCTATGCATAAATCATAATACAATACACAATTTGATAACTGAATTTCACCTTAGGATTACAACACATTAATCTTTATAGACGATTTAGAAGGACCAGCTAAAAAATGTCAAAATGTTACTCAACAATAGTGTATTGTTCTAATTATTAAAGATAGAATAAATTACAATTATGCTCATGATTAAAGTAACGAGGTACAATATTCCTAAATTTATTTGAAAAAAATAACATACATTGATATATTAAAGGCTATTTGATGGACAAGATAAGTAATGAACAACATATGATAAATTTATTTCCTTAGCTTATTTTATCCTGTCCCCAACACGATAAGTTATGATAAAGGGACTTAGGTTAGGAATGGAATAATAGGTTAGCAAATGTCACATTCTCTCATTACAAATATTGTCATATATGCTCTTTCACTATAATCATTACTAGGCATGTGAAAGTTAGCACTTTCCTTTAACAGCTGCCTTCGTCGTCGTTATTGCTGTTGGCCATCAGTCACCTCTACCACTTACTACCGCCACCAGTCATCACCGTGAGTTATCAACCACCACGATTGTCATCAGCTATAACCACCCACAATCACCATCACCAATCAACCCCCACGGTTCACTCGCTACCACCACCACCACTATGCACCAACCAGCATCATCTCGGGCTGCCACCACCCCTAACCACTAAGCATCAAGTGTCACCCCCACCATTACCATCATCCACCGCTATCAATTAGCCACCACAATTGCCATTCGTTACGTTGGCGCCGCAAACGCTTCCGCCAACCACCCTCACGATTGCCACCATTGAACCAACAACTACCATTATCGCCACTATTGCCACTGGTCACCAGCAACCCAACCACCACAGTTATATATCAATCAATCATCACAATTGTCACCGATTATTTCGGACGCTATCACTACCACCTATTGTCACTTGTCCCTACAACTAATACCACCTCCAATTCAATCGACTGCCACGCCCACCACTATCACTAGCCAACAATATTGACAATATAGTTAAAATTAACTTAAATTTTAAAAATTTATTTGGTAAGGATATAATATAAAATAAGAAATCATGTGTAAATAAGTTAAAAAAAAGTTTAAAAATAAATTTTAAAACATCATATGATATTCTATTAAAGGAGTATTTTTGTTTATTTTTATTATATCATGATATTATATTATTTGCCCAAGACAGCAGATAGGATAATATTATTCTATCAAACTATCTAATATATATCAAACACAAGATAAAATATAGGGAATATTATCTCATGTTCTATGAGATAATTATCTCATGCAACAAAGAGAAAGTAGTGGAGTTTATTATTTTTTCTTTTTTATTTGATTAAAAAAATTAATAAATCATGTTATTTTATCTCTGTTATATGATATAATTATCTCATACAATATGAGATAAATAGATTTCTAAAATATAAGTCTGATAAAACTCTCCTTTTTATCTTATTCATTCCTATCTTACCATTTCTACCAAATGAGCGCTAAATATTCTATGGTCGTTTGGTCCGTCTGACCGTTTAGTTATTATCCGTCAAAAGTATCATTATTTCTTTTGTAAGATTTATATATGACTCTAAAAATTCTAAAAGACCTGTTCTAAAACAATTATAATAAGTAGTTAACCTTCACAAGTAATTTTAGTTGGTTTGTTCTTTAATTAGAAAATATATATGTTCGTTGAAAATTCTTAAACTCCGATGTTCCTATTTCTTTTCCAATGAAGAAAAGTGCCAGATCAATAATAACACTCTTTTTGTGGTTCACATATTATTATATACAATCATTTACCATTTTCATTCTTGCGGTCCTCGTCTTCGACGTCGTGTCATGGTCTTCCAAGTTGTATTCACAAAAGAAAAGCTTTTATTATGCTATAAGAGGTGACCACGCATTACACGATACTTGACGATGAATAGCTACCATGCCATGTGTTTACTGGACCACCCAGAAAGTACACAATTTTGGGAAGTAGCTTTCAGAGTGTGGGAACCCCTGGGACATTACCATATAGTTGAATACGTGACACACAATACAGTGTCAAGCAGATAAAGATTACCCTTTATGACTATCCAAATAACCAATCAAATCAATTTCTCAAGAAAAAAGTTTTAAGTCAAGCCACCACAATACCACATACTTCGCTGTGCTGGCATGGGTAGCAAATGAAAGATATAAACTTGTTTTTACCCCAAACAAGTTACTTTATGCACGAAAGCATAACTTAATATTTATCACTTATAACGTGGAAGGGTGTAAAATAAAATTCTATAACGTCCCCCTTTAATAAATAAGAATTGCAAAAAAGGGCACTTTACTCTCATAGGTTAAAAATGTGTACGGCATACGTTCCTCCAATGTCACTACGCGTCATGTTATGAATATTTTCTAAATCATATAATACTTGGATCTGTTACTGTGGGCCAACGATTGAAATAAATTAAGGCCCAAGTTGCTATTGGCATTCAGTTTTGGCCTTATTTGCTAATTGAGATGTTGCGTTTTGTTTTGCTAAGTAATATATCAAATATCCTTGTGCTTGGAAATCTCAACGTGGCATATTCCAAAGAAAATCAGATTTGGGTTTTTTCTGTTTTCGTTGAAGTTCTCTGAAGAAAGAAAACTCTAGGGTTTCTTTGAGAGCTTGAGAGGCATATTTGAGAGTGTTAAACTGAGAATCTCATCTCAGTGATGTTGAGAGAAATGTTTCTCTTGTCAAGACGCTCAGATTGATCGGTGCAGTTTTGAAGGAATCATCCAACAGTGAAGAAGATGGAGCATGGTGGCGTTCCTTGTTGGTAAAGACGGGTTCGCACACTTTGGGAGCTGAAGGCACCTGGTTCTTGGTGTTTGCTCTGAGTTTTGGGTGACATCTTTCTTATCTTTGTTTTACTGTTGCTGATTTTATTCTCTGGTTATATGTGCGTTGTAATCTTGGTTTTTCTTTCTCTGTTATATGCCTTGTATATGCTGTATTGGTAGAGTTACATGTGTAGGATCCTGAACTCTTTGTACTTGTTATCTGTTGTTGAATAAGAGTGCATGCTAGAGGGCGTTTGACCCTCTCTGGCCAACTTGGATGTAGGAAATTCTTATACAAAGAATTTCTGAACCAAGTATAAATATCTTGTGTGCTGCTCTTTATGTTTTCCGTTTATGTAAGTCAGTTTTCTGGGGTGATTCTTGGTAGCTCTATACCAAGAATTGTAACACGTCACATGACCCTAAACAGCTAAACCACGAAAAATCTATAGGGACGTTGTCATTATCAATTACTAGTAAATTATTTAGAGTCTTTCCAAGCAGTTATGTTAATGAGAATTCTCGATGTGTTTGATTTTTCATTTTTCTATTGCGAAGATTTTTATTTTTTTAAATAATCAAATCGGTGCTCGGAGCCTATGAAATACCGACATTTCAAAAATCTTGACGTGTCGTATCCGATACTTCCCGACATTCGACACTTCAATACTCGTTGCAAAGACTCAAAAAATGTTCAAAGGTTACGTTGCGTTACATTTTGAGTTTCAACTATTAGATTCGTTAGAGTACGATTACGATTTTATTGAGTTTAATATAAACATTTGAGATATATTATATTTCTTTACAAAATTGATGAGTATTATAAGTTTATTTTTATTTTTTTGTTAAATTATTGAATACTAAATATAATATACACTACATAAA